CGTCCCGTCCCCACACACCTGCGGGGCCGCCTGGGTCCACCCGACCCAGCTCATACCCGGCACGGCCCCCTCCCAGCCCGACGGGGGCCGGCAGCTCCAGCGCCCGGAGCCGGCCACGGCCGCACGCAGCTCGGCGGCGGCGGGTCCCAGCGTGCTTCACACCGGTTCCCGGCGCTCGCATTGAATGCTGGGACCTGTAGTCCCACCGTGCCAAGCCACGCTGGGGCCGGACAGCCAGGGCGTGCAGAGCCGGCTATTCTCGCCCTGGCCCATGCCGTTCATCCCGACCCAACTTCTTTGCCGGGTGGGAGCATCCCCGGGAGCAGCAGCTCAAGCCCAGCAGTGAGTGGGCAAGGAAGGCTCTGCACACACACCCCGGGGCAAGGAGAAAGCGTTACCTGAAGAGACCTGAATCCTCCCTGTTAGCAAGCGCACGCGTACAGAGGGAAAAGGGGAAAGAGAGACACAGGAGTTACCCACATTGGGACAGGGCTTGAACGCAGAGTGGGTGGCAGAGGAGGGGACAGGAGGCTGGGGAGCCCTTGCCCAGCGCCCACATCCCAAATCCACCAGGGTCCCCTGTAGGGACACCCCAAGGGGCAGGGAAGGGATCAAGGGGCTCCCAGCCAGCACAGCCAAGAACGTCACCAGATCTGTCCCCAGCAGCTCCTCCACACGAGAGGGCTGATGGAGGTCCAGAACCTTGCATGGCACCGCAGGGTGTTGGGAGACCCCCACAAAGTGGGGAAGAAGAGGAAGATGAGAAAGGGCACAGGCAGAAGCAGCAGCCTGGGCCGGGGTTAGCACAGGCACAGCCACATGCTGCAGGCTTCATGCAAGGAGAAAATTGGGGAGACACTGCAGGGAAACCCCCCCAAAGTTGAGCAGGTGTCCCCCACTTTCCCCAGACCAGCCTGTCCCCCAGCTCTGGGGTCCCCACGTGCTCCCTGGCCCCTTCGTGCCCAGGGTGGGTGTTTCTGTGCAGTGTCAGGGCAGGGTGCTCGGCATGCCGGGTGGGGGAAGCGGGTTAGTACCTGCTGGTGAATAGCCCGAGGCCCTGCTGGAAACTGAGAGGAGGAGAGGGAGGTTTGGGACAGGGGAGGAAGGAGAGAAGAGCAGTCACTTGGTGGGCAACCCCAGCTGGAGGCCTCTGCCCCCCCACCCCAGGGCTGGGAGGTCCGCAGGCAGCGGTCGTGGTCCAGATCGCGGGCACACTCCCCCTCGCAGGCGCACGCCGGCCCCGAAGGGCACCACAGGGCTCCTGGCACCGCTGGGCACCGCGGCAGTGGGGGCTACTCGGCCAGGAGGGAGAAAGGCTGCTGGCCCCCCCGCCATCGCCCCCTCCAACTCGGGGCAAAGCCCTTACCTGGCGCGGCTGAGAAGGCGTATTCATTTGTGAGGTCGGTGCCGGGTTAAAAACCACAGGTGCCGTCTGACCGGGTGGGAATGTCGGCTGGAGGGAGGCAGGGAGGGAAGGAGATGGCACTGCCACCCCTGGCACAGAGTGGGGAGGCAAAGCTGGGTGTCCCCCCCGCCCCACACCCCGAAGGGGCCGGTTACCTGCGGCAGTCCGGGAGAAGGGGCAGGGTGCGGGGCTGTCGGGGCTCCTCCTGTGGGCTGTGGAGCTTTGTTCATTTCATGGGGTTGTGCATAAGGATCCCCTCGCTATCTGCGGGGACAGGGACAGCGTGCGTAAGCTGGAGGCGGGCAGCACCCCGGGCATCTGTCTCCTGCACCTGAAAACGGGGCATCTCTAGCCCCCTCAGCGTAAAGCCTGACACTGGCCATGCCCCACGGATGGCATCACACCAGGGCGCAGCCCCCAGCCACCCCCTCCTGGCCCACTGGGACACAGGGAGAGGGTGAGCACCGCCTGGGCGCCCAGCCCGTGCAGATCCCCACGCCCTGCGGAGTAAAGCCCCCCCCACGGTGCCCCAAACCCAGCTGTGCCCACCGGCAGGACTGACACCCCCCCCCCCCCCCCGGGGCGGCCCCACAGCCGCGCGCGGCCCCC